CTTCAGACTAAATTTCTGTTTTCGAGCCATTTATGCTAAAACTTATGATATTTACAGTGAAAAATTCAATCATTTCATGTGATTACTTGACAAACATTACTTGACAAACACTACTTGTTTAATATATTAATTGTAAATTTTACGTGATCAAATACCAAATAAATAAACGCAAATTTCATTTTTACCAACACGTAAGTACTGCTAAATTTCAGATTTTCGAAAATCTAGAAAGATTAAAGAAAAGAGACAGGTTATTCCTAAGATAATCAATTACATTAGGAATCACAGTTAGAAACTGCAGCAGAACTGAGTGATAGCTCTGGACAGCTGATATCTATAAAATGGCTTCTGATTAACAATCTAGCATGCACACTCGTTAATGTATGGGAAGTAATGTAACTTTTTGTTAGATTGCTTGTTAAAGTCTGTTAGAAACAAAAGCAAATACATGAGCTCACTAATTAACAACAATTTTTTTTCAATTCTAGCGTGCCACTTTTCTAAGAGTCATGATGTGATGGATGTGGTTAATTTTTTTAAATATATATTTTGAATCCGTCAAAATTGCTCTGCACTCTTATGAGCGAAGCAATAATATTTAGAGTGACTGGTTGGACAAATTACTTTGAATGAATAATAACATTAAAAACTGGAAAGTTACTTACAAACTATTGAAGATCACAGCAAAAACTGATAAAACTATTAAGTGACTTCAACTATGCAAAAGATAACCGTATAAGTAGCAATGATCATTAACGTGAACGGATTAAGGGAGAAGTGTTCATTTGTAAACTTTACACGCACGAGATAGCAGCTGAAAGAATGAGCTGATTTCATGAGTGAGGGAGATTTCGTACGATCGTGTATGAAAAGTTGAAATCAATTTCGCTTTTTCATCTCCATAAAACCCGTCAGCCTTAGTGCAGAGATTATTATTTTCACGTCTTATGTTCATGTTTATTTTCATCTCCTGTACAACACAGTGCATACATGAGGATGCAAACACGTAGATATTAGAGCCTGTATATAAATGTAGTTTTGCATTTGTATGTGCCCATGCATTTACGTAATATATACGGGCCATAGATATTTATACATGCTTGCACGTATTTCATGTGTGCATGCAAGGAAATGAACGGATTGTAAAGCTTGACTGCACTTATATACGCAAGAACAAAGCGTGAAATACAAGAGAGAAAATTCACAAACTCAATTAATGAAAAATGGAAGAAATGAGCAATTATCGTTGCGACCTGATATAAACTTTTCATGCGAAAAGTGTGAATAGAGAAAATCCACATAACTTTTGTATGTAACCAAATGTAATGTGAACGAAACCAATTTAATAATGAGACGTGCTCACATACATTACGTGATTAAGCTAGACTCTCTTCCTCATGCAATCAGTTCTCACGTGATATGTTTACTAATGCGAAGAATGAGAACGTAATGTTAGCGGTAAAATGTAAGTGCAAACGTCAACGCTTGACTACTCAGTGAGTCAGTTTTGACTGGCAGATGAGAGGGCGGTTTGCTACAATGACAACTACAAATGCAAACGGCGAACTTTCGTCAATAATATATTTCTCGTCACAATGCAAAATGCTTGAATACAAGTGTGAGTGTTTGCTAATGTATGTGCATGTGTGTGTGAGTGTGTATGAATGAATACGTGCTGAAAAAACGAGCAAATCAGCAGGCGAATGAATTGCAAAGCAGTGAATCACTGTGGAAATAAATGAATAGCAATCGATTTCAAGGCCACTCTAATTATTAGCATTCACGATGTGCACGTGAACTCTAGTAGGCATATTTCTCTTTATGAAATTCAAGAGTGAATATGCAAAGCAAAACGTTACCTGGCTTACTTACGTATTACCATTTAAGAATGTGTTAAATAATGAAATCTAAGTTTGCCATTTCTGAGCTGAGTTACTCGCTTACTACGTTACTACTCAGAACTAACTCTCTCTGATCTTTTAACTTGAGAAGAGAACTGAACTATTTCTAGAAAAAAGACGATGGAGTCAGTTAAGGAATTCGTATCTTCTGCTGTAATTAAGATAATAAATAAATTTAAGACTCGCAAGTGTGCCGAACAGTATACTCTTAACTGCCTTCCAGTATTGTAATGAGACTACTTCATTGCTAAACAAGTTCGAACTTGTTTAGCAAACTAATCAACCAGCAATTTATTCTATATACTTATCAGTACATAAATTTCAAATGGTACCAAAAATATAATGATAAGTGGCGCAGCACAGAGTAACAAGTAAAACTTCGGTGATTGGCTTTCCCAATCATTCTAAGTACTTTGTTTTACTCGCGTATACTTTTGTTCTGCAACTAGTCATTGATTCCAATTTTTACTTCACGTAAATTGTATTTTTGTTTACGTAATTTACTCAGTTAAATCAGCACTTATATCAAAAACTACCAAATCTGACTTCAATTTTTTGGTGAATTCATTGTGCAAACTTCTCTCCTTTGAAAAGCAATACGATCTGAGGACTCGAAATGTATAGTCCGTATATTACTTTTTTAATACATAGATTAGTCCATCTCTCCTGCATTTGAACGACTTTTCAACTATCAAAATACGTTTCTGATATTTAATTGACGTAATATGCAACACCTTTTGAACTTCAACTGCTGATATGATACCTATAGAAACTTTAAGCTTGATCTGTTACAGCTTGTAGAGTTTTAATCTTCTGTCGGCATTGAAAGAAATATAAGTTTTTAGATAGTTTTACGTTTTCTTAGTGTTTTTGTTGCTGGAGAAAACAAATATCACTGCCACAGAAAATGAACACTCAAATTCGGTGCTTATATAGGATACACGCAGAAAATACATTTTTAGGTAACAAAATCCAGTTGAAATATTTCGTTATTTATGAAATATCACTAAATTAAATTCAGTTAGCATAGCTCCTGCACAAATCCAATCTAATTTCATTTATCTTCCTTGAGATTGCTTTAGTGTCTTTGAATTTTTCTTTATTATTACTAGATGAATTGAATTATCATTTCACTTCTACAGCACTTAGTATCCGTATCACTTTCGCATTACTGCTTCTGGCTGATTCGCGTGATATCTACAATACCTGTTGCTACTGCATAACGCACGATTAAGTCTGCCACGCAGCTGTAATGTGAGTAATGCGTCATACATCCGTACCGTTGCTTACGTACAATACTTGCGGTTTCTAGCAATCCCACCTAAACTTAAATCTTTAAATTAACAAAATGTCAAGAAATCTCATGAACCAAATAACCAGTAATAATAACGATAATCATTAGTTTCAGAAAAAAATAACTATCATTTCCATCAAATTTTTAAGAAATTTAATGCAACCATTTTTACACCTTTTTCTTGATAAAGTTTGTTTATTTCCAGCTGTAGTCGAAATGTTACTCATAAAATGTAATCTATCTAATCATTTCATTATAAGAAAGTCTTAATATTTGATACACTTCAGTTCCAGTTTCTACTGATAAAAATATGACTTCAAAATCACATTTGTCGCCAGTAAAATTATGCTAAAATACTGAATATAAACTATGAAGGACCATAATTTAATAAAAATATTAAACTCTTCCAATGGGTTATATTATTTAATTATTTGATCTTGGACTACAGAATATGTTTGCTCACGTAATGAACAAATTATTTCGTGTGATTTCTGGTTTATATTTCTTTCTTTCTTCTATCGTGATCTGTTATGGAAACATTATAACACTATTACGGAAGTAAATAGCGCCAGTACGATCAGTTGCGAAAATAAACGTGTTGATATCAACAGTCAAAAACGCCAGAATGGCGAGTATGGTAGTAATACGAGAGACCTAGATCAGTGATCTAATGGCTGGGAACGCGTTTCTGAAGAACCTCCCACATTACAGGTGACTTCCAAGAAGCGGAAAGAAGTATTAGACCATAACGATAATGCTCATACAATCCTTGTTGCACATTTCTGAAGCAAGGAAGACGAAACAAGGGAAGCAAGTAAAGAAGGATGACACGCATGGGATGAATAGAAAGAAAGAAAAACTATTGCAAAGGGAGCGCGAAACCTGAAGGGAAAATGTTGTGTTGTCTTAGAGTCAGAATATCAGAAGTCTGGGAAGAAAATGAAGGATGAATGAAGGAAAACTGCATCTGGAATCATCTAAAATACAAAAAGTGAAAAAACAGATGAAGATGTGAAAACCTCCGTGAAGGATGTAAAAATTATCCTGCCAGAGTGTGCCAAAACCAAGAATCTGCAGGATCATTACGCTCGAAGTACTCTTTCGAAAAATCGAGAATCGGTAGAGCAGGTGGCTAGAGGAAGTGCTGAGTGCGTTTCTTGACCGTTTCAGGAGGATGCCGAGAGAGGAGTAGTGGCGTTTGTGTCGTTTCCTGTATAGAGAGAAGTTCTTTGCGCAACTACCCTCGATGAACTGAAGAAAGCGAATTCCATGATTACGAGTATTGTAGGTCGTTTGTGATCACAGAAACGGTTCTTGGAGAAGTCAACGAAGCATGTCAAAACATAAGACACGTACTTCGAACAAAACACTAAGTATCTAGATGTAAAGGAGATATACCTGGCGCTGATACAAGAAGTTCACAGAAGTAAAATAAACAAGACAAAAAGGACGCGGAAAATAAAATCGGAAAGCGTTGACCCAATTATACTTGAAGTGGTGGAATCAAGTGAGTGAATATGCCAGACAGAATTTCCCAAGTTAATTTTGCAAGGCAGCTCTAGATAGCACAATGCTGTAAAGAAAAGATATGACAAAGCGAGAGCAGAAGCCGTCGATGTGGAAGGCAAACATAAAAAGGAAGTTTGAACAACTTCTATAAATCTTTCAAAAAGCGATATTTGGCTGATGAAACTTGAAGGTAAGAACCTGAGGGAGGCTAAGAAGTGTATGAGGGGCATGAATCTTATACTTACTTTCAAAAGTGACTGTCATAAGGCCCTAAGCATGTTGACAAAACGTGAGAGTTTATGAAAGTAAAATAAAGAGTCCCGAAGTGTAAATCTAAAACACCGTTAGACTTGAGCTCTTAAAAGGCGGTTTCATGGAAAACTAACTGAGGAACTGTCTGTTAACCGCAATATAGGGGACAGAAGATATCAGAGAGTTCTAGGCTACGATTTACGATTCGGGAATGGAGATGGCATGACGATATATTCTTCGACATACAAAATAACAAAGCGAATATGCCTGATGAAGAAAAAGAGGACCCACGGTACCAAACAGAGGTAGCGACTTCATGCCAATAACCTGTATATCGAACCTCAACAAGTTGACAGTGAAAATGGGTGGCATAAGTTATGCCAATTTTTCAACAAAAATCTGAAGTACCTTATCTATCTTGAGAGAAACATAATTATTTTTCGCAATTTTTGATTCCATTTCAAGTTTTCATATTGGAATAAAAACGCTCCTTAAAGACATGTAAAGTCTATAGCAACCTTCTTCTCAGCGCATACCCGATCGAGAACAATATCAAGCACGGCAAAAGTTCCTGAGCGATGCACACCTGTAGGACACATCAGGCAAATTGGCCCCGTAATACCTCTTTTGGTCTTTTGCAGATCCCATCTTTTCACCTCAAAATTTATAAGACATTAGTAAAGTGTGAAATTTTCAGGATCGAACTAAAATATTCCAAACTGTCGCCCATTTTTTTCTCAAAAAAAATTAACCTCGCCATTTGGAAAAGAAAAATGAAAACTGAAATAGTGAAATAAAAGTCGGAGATCAGTGCTGGAAAGGTAAATGCAAACAATCATAATCAGGCGAAAACTTTAGAATAATTATTGAAATTATTTGTTTACCAATTATTTATTTACTAATTATTTTTGTTTCACAATAACGTTACTTTTGCCAATACAAAAAAAATTTTTCACATAGAGAACTGTCAACACATATTGTTTCCACTGTGAACTAGGACCAGATCTAACAAAAAAATCATTAAGAAATTCGACGTCGATCATTGTTTCTCTTAACGGGCAAAAACCAAAAATCTTTGTAAATAGCAAAATAATGCATTGTATGCAACAATCTAATGTATAATATAGTGGAAAGAAGCAACAAGAGGAACTTATGGCCAAAGACAAAGTTAATCATGTTGTGGCAAACCTCAGATCGTAATTCCAGCAAATTTTCCGGGATTGCCTTGTCTTCAATCCATTTGCGGTAGTGCAACATCATAATTTCAAATGGAGTTCTGGCACTTGGTGCTGGACCAGTAATAACAAAGTTGTACAAATCACATGTAGCGATCTGAGCGAATTTCGAATGAAAAAAGTTAAAGGCTGCAGAAAGCCTTAGATTTTAAAAAAGAAAGTAAGAAGTGACATCTAGACAAATTTCTGATCTTTTAATAACCTCTGGGAATGATATAAATGCTTTGATAATTTAATATGATTTAGATGGGTAAACACATTGGAACTGCATTGTGAAAGGATAAATTTTAACTATATCTATCGGGAACAACAAGGAATACCTGGAATACCTGCTTTAGATTTGTTAACATTTTTAAACCATTTTATTACAAGAGTTATTTTATTCCCTCATAACTACAAAGTAACTTATAGAACGCAAGTTAAATGAAGCAGATTTTGTTCTATCGTGACATGTGGAAATTTGCGAATCCCATCAATCTGTTAAATTACTACCATATGAAGGTATAATTTTGTTTTCATTTAAGTGGTACTGACAATGTAGGCTATACAGATTCAATAATTCGGCAGTGCAAACTATAAATGACATCACTTCTATCTTCCACAAAATTTATACGATTGTACTGCATAAAAATCAAAAAAACCCTGCAACTACGGGGTTACTATGAATGGTACAAATTTTATAACAAGAAACTAAGACTATGTTTTAATGAATATGATTTTTTATTTACTATTATAAGTTGTGAAACTCTGTAGTTTGCTTGTTACTATTGAAGTGATACAAATTAAATGATAGTTTAATACGTAAAATATTGCAATAAAAATTAACATTTTCACAAGAGGTGTATTCAACTTTAATTTGGGTATGAGAGTAAGTACGTGTATTAGCGTTGCTATCTGGCCAGAAATGCTTGATTAGACGGTTTCCCTCACGATTGTGGACATCTGTTAGCAGCACAATTAACTTTGCATTCGTTTGATAAATCATTCGCCAGAAATCAGATTCTGTAGTCTCGTCAAAGGGAGCTTGAGCCAAAATGTAACCATCTGTAGTAAAATCATTTGCCTACTAGCTAAAACCTCCTTGTAAGAGCATTTTGTTTCCAAATTTGGATTCAAATGACAAAAGTCAAACTTTAAATGGGTAACAATTATGTCATTATGTAATTTCTCGAACTTGATTAGCTTTTACCATCTCATCTCTGCTTGAACTTTGTTCTTTACTTTTTGACCATGACAGTGCTAACTATCATTACCCACTGATGTTAAGTTCAGAATGCCTTCTAGTTTATAATGAGTGGTATGGTATTTTTTTTCAAATGATATGATGCGACAGCAAAATACTTCTAAATTTTGGTTTCTTATTGCTCTTTAATTATATCTGAAAAAAAAGCAGAAAAAAAACAGATGGATAAAGGGTTTGTTTCCATCATCGACAAATTCTACACTAAACTTTGACACACCTGGTCGTTCGTATGAATCAACATATGATGCGTGATAATAATCATCACCAGGTTTATCACCTTGTAATTTAACACGTGAACGATCGTATAATATCACATTTGGATAACGGTTTTTCAGTGCATTCACTTTATCCAAAAACTTATCAAATTTCGGAGGTTCTTTAAGAATTATATTATGCCAATCAATTATTACCTAAAATTATTTAGAAAAATTGACTCTATTAGTGGAGCAATCATGATAGTAATGAAAATTGAAATGAGTTATTTGGAACAAGACAAGCTAAAGTGGAAAGAAACTAGGCTGAGTTAGTACTAATCTAGACTAATATATTATTCCTACCTGTTCACCACCTTTAGCTATCTCATCTACAACTTCTTGAGGTGACATTGTTCCTTTTTTATTGACATCATCATATACTTCTTCGCTATCGGCCACCTGAGAATCATCGCTCATTTCGCTATCCACCCTTTGAACAACCTCTGATTTCCAACCTCCCTTGAAGATATAAAAATTGATGTTCCTGAATTTCATTTATAGTTTATGAAATCAGGATATTTTGCATACGTTATAGTATTTGTTCTTAATTATTCACATACTCATTAATAATGACAAATTATTCGATTATTGATGAAACTGAATTTTAATGGATTCTACTGCATTCAATTTAGCTTAGTCGAAGTTATTCAACTTTGCTTAGATATTACTATCTACGATGCATAACAACTTGCCATTAAGAATTATCGTACAGGTAAATTGTAAAAATTATGTAATAAATATAATAAGCGCTTTATATAAATAATTAAATATGTATATGTATTTAATAGTAATAATAAAAATGCTCCAATATCACTGAATTCTTATTGTTATATAAATTCTTTGGTAGCTTTTTCAGTTCCGTACTGATTTTTAAACCACCTGGAAAAAACGTCTCAAATTGCAATGTGTCAATATTTCACTCTAATCATATTTTGAGAAAAGTATGACAAACACATAATATTTTCAGATTTTTCAAATACCGCCGAGTGATGAAAGCTCAAAAACACTGACGGATTCTCACTTATAATTGCTGATATTTGTTTTACAGAAGCGTAGTGATGGGGTCACCCATCTTTGTTGGTGCAGGTTTATGTCGCAATACCTCTCATTTCTGTGCCTTTTAGGACATGCTAAAAAATAACTCAATGCTTTTATAACTTCCCATTTTCTACTAAAGTAGTCTCCTGAACTGTAAGCACAACAACATAAAATCCTACACGATGTAACATTTCTTACAGGATGTAACATAAAATTTGCAAATTTATGTTGCATCCTGTAAGAAATGAGTAAATCGCATAAACAATTCTGTCTGACGAAGTCATCAACCAGATGTGTTTATTTAAAAAATACGATTAGATATTGTAATATCAGACATGTTACAAAATTTTATTCAGTTAATTAAATGAAGTTACGATATGAAACTTTTTCAGGCATCAGTATGAGAAATAGCTATTTCATTAAGTTCAAGTTCACGAATCAGTTGATGCACTGGATACGTTTGCGTCGTCATATCTACTGAGTTTACAGTAACTGTGGAATCCTCTGTTTTAATCAGATTTTCCAGAGCTTCGAGGATATTCATATGTAGCACCTACATTTCAAATTTTCAACTTGAGCAAACTTAAAAATTCAAACTTGAACAATAATCAACATATTGATTCGGGTATATTTCATTTCATGCTTTCAATGAAAAGTAGAAAATTATTTTATAAGAAACTTTCCAATATAAAAATATTAATAAGTAGCAAAATATACACTAATATTATTTCTATGAAAGAAATTAATTTTCGAACTGATAAAAAGACATGCACAAAAATGATAAATGGAAAAATTTAAGATATAATCTTTTTCCTATAAAACTTTCTATTCAAATTGTGAAGGACTCATACTTGCCATCCATATTTTAAGAAATATTTGCACTTATTTCTTCTCTAATGATTTTAGCAGTATTTTAGTTGATAGATCGCTAAGAATAATTCAAATATCATGTTCAAATATAATATAATAAACGTAGTAATCTTCAATTTTTTAGGTCAGGAAAAAAAAAGTTTTGAAATTTGGTTAAGAAATTTCCGACGAGTTGCTAACCTTCATTTCTTGAGAGACCATTTGAATTTCAAACATTGTTTTTATATTCGCACCAATAATGCCCAATAAGACTCCAACAGTTATTGATCCAACGAGAATCATCGATCCACTTCTGTAATTTTCATCATTTTTTAAAACAGTGCAAAGAAAGTTTACTTTCAACACCAACATATACCTACAAAGTTTACAAACTCTTCTGTATAATTTCTGAAAGTATATAATTTTTAATTAAAGCATATTATTTGAAAACAAAAATATATAATTTTTAATAATATATTTAATGGATTGAGAAAGAGGCACTAAAATCAAAATTTGAATGATTTTTAAAGGTCGCATTTGAAAAGGAAAACTTCTGATGTGAGTAGTTTCTACGTCTAGTTATATTTGCTTCGAACACAAATATAATTTATCAATAACAGCATAATGAGCAAAGTGTAAATTAACATACAAGACAATATCGGGATTATTTCTGATGCAGAAGTGAACATACGCAACCGTTTCAGCCACTCGTTGTTTGATAAATTTAAAATGGTTAATAATTCTACTTCCCAACCGGAGATCGCCTATGTGATTACTTTTACATTAAGATTGTACGCTTTACAAAGTGAAACAAATATCAGAAGTTATGCAGCCATCTCAACCTATGACATATTTGACAAAAAATTATAAATATTTTGATTTGTGAACAATTACAGTTTTCATATTATTTACTTTATTTTATTTAAATAGAAATTCTCAGCAGGCACGAAAAAAACTGCACTCGTCTACTGGTTTAGCATCAACAATTAATTTCAGTTAGTAGCAAACTGATTATATATACGAAGCAACATATTTTGATGAGATTACTCTTATCATAAAATGATGGAAAATTCTTAAAAACTACTATTAACCAACCAGGAGCAGGGCTAGAAGGACATTGTTTTAAGATAGATTTCTTCCTGGAACTTTCTTGCTTGTCCTGAAACATTCTAGTTAATGACTTATCAGTGTAAACAACTGCCAAAATTGGAGTATTAGTAGATCATCAGTAAGTCCATAAAAAATATTTATATACTGATCTTCTGGCTCAGTTTTTATTTAGAAGGGACATAGACCTGATTATAAAATTCGATACTCAAAGAACAAGAATAAACTGCTCAAAAACATGCCAAGATCTAAACTAATTAATCAGAATCAAATCAGCCATTATAAAAAAGTAATGGATTACCCGCACTCCTTCACAAGTACCATATTCGACAATTAATGAAAGGAGGATTACAACTTTAAGACCTAAAATTGCGAGCACAAATAAACTGACTGAAGAATTAATCTGAGAAATGTAAATCTGAACTAATGAATTGTCTTAAGAAACAAAGCGCTGATTTTTTACTACCATTGCCACAACAAATCATTACCAATCATTGTATAATTAAAATGGGAGGAGTAAGCAACCGCCCGTCTAAGTAAACAATTTTGAAACTGAACGATATTAGCACTTTAAAAATTTAAATCTAGCTGATCATGTTGCTTTTAACAAGAATCACAGTGATTTGCTGTATTGTCGATCTTAGCCACATTTATAATAAGCGAGATATAACACCTTCTTAGCAGATGGATATCGTTTAATAACATTTCAGTCAAGTTAGACATAACCATGATATCTGAACTTGCCAAGACAGAGCAGATGCCTAATTCGAAATAATTTCAGCATTCATATATCAATAAAAAGTCACGCGTAAATGAAAAACAACTTTGCCCAAAAGGAAACAATCTTGAACAAGAATTTACTTAAAATACCATAAAATCATCTGTTGTTTGTGGATGATTGTTGTGCTTACTCTGCTTTATATTACTGACTTCGCGGGATTCTGTGTGGCATATTGCATCGCCACTTCTTCACCGACTTCAAGTATAAGCGTACCAACGCTTTGCGATGTCATTTTCGGTGTCCACTTTGTCTGGTTTATCTTACGTCTCTGTGCTCCTTGGATCAGCAATTGGTATTTCTCCTTTACATTTAGATAGACTCTAGACTCGTGTTTTGTTCTATACACGCGTCTCGTACTTTGACACGCTTCGCTGGCTCCTGCAATACTGCAAACGCGGAGTTCGTTTTGCTTCTTCAGTGTATTGCATACAATACAGAGAAGAACAGGTCGTGGAAGAATATCGAGGGGCCATCCGCCTTTTTCACCCTCACAGCCTTTTTTGAACCGCATTTCCAGACGCGGACTTTTTTCTTTTGCCCTCTTCCCCCTCCCCCCTCCCATTTTATGTTCCTCGAACACACCCGGTCATCTTCAGAGTTAACCGCTCACCTCGGCGAATCCGCAAGATCATATATAAATACATGTATTTAGTGTACAGCATATCACATGACTCAGCAGTGGAACCCATTGCCATTAAATTTTGTAAGCGATGGTTGAGGTGGAGCATAAATCTACAGACAAACTTAACATCTAGTCCACGACGATAAGATATACTTTCACAGGTTCATCGCATATACAAAACAGCACTATTCAGAAGGTAAACTTTGTGGAAGCATTGCCTTTTATGGCCCTCGTAATCAATTCATGCAATTAGGTAATGACAACTGTAAGTGATTTCTCAGTAATGAAATCAAATCAACTTAACTGCTGAGAAGTCACTTATGTCCGTTAAATTCAATAAAAATGGGATATGGCAGCCACCTGGTATTCAATGTTTCACTCGGTTTTTGCATAGAATTTTTTTTAAAGAAGATCGTTCAATAGTAGAGAGAAAATTAAGATCATTAACGGAGGTAGCGGAGCAGATTTCATAAATATTCAAGATGGATGTTTTTATCTCATGGTATCATAAATTTTAATAATTTTGACTATGGATGAAAATCAGTTCTTTTCAAGATTTTCAGAGACTGGGTTAAATTTAGCCATCGGACAAACAAGTATAATAGTAAAGAACATCGTGAAACTGTAAAGTATTTGAGAAATTAGT